TATTAGTAATGTACTAATAGGGATGCTGCCATCACTAGTTACCCTTTTTGTGGATTTCATCTCAACTGACGTTATTGTTAGGGATTGTTTCTGCAAACACTTCATAAATTACTTATTTCTTTTTTAGTTGTCCAGCACCAAGGAAACATTTCAAGACTTGTCACTGCCCATTCCAGGTAAGCACAGTGTTGTAAATTATAGTCACAAATACTTTCAAACCTGATAATTTCATGTCTTAACATTTTCACCACCAGATCCCTGTTTTCATCACAAATTCACTAAATAGTCCCATTTATAGTCTGCACTTTTCTTCAGAAGATTGGGACAAAAAAAAACAAATTTTTTGAGTAAAAATTGAAAATTGACTCAAATGTTGTCTGTTGGCTCCAAAATTAGCATACATTTCAAGAAATATTGAAGAATATAAAAAAAATTTGCAGTAATATTTGGGCAAGAATTCTGGTGGTGAAAAGGGTAATAATGTAAACCATTTTATTTCACTGCTGGGATTTTTCATGATTTTATGGTATTCATGATGTCACTAATGCTCTGTTGGAGGGCAGTAGAGAAATTTTCACTGCAACAAAAATTCACTACGTTCAATTACCCACCATAGACTCCGGTCAGTCAAAATGACTATTTTGAACTGTAGGCATTAATCAGCAATTCTGCCGGTGACGGAGAGATAGAATCTAGGTCAGGGGAAGCCCCATGACCCCAAGAATCTTTTTCCCTTACGTCACGAACCACGTGACCGAGCCCATATGGCGACACCATAGACGGCTGTACAATCACTCTTCTTTTTCTCCGCATCGAATGGAGATCAAGTCTAGCGAGCTCTGCCTGGATCGCCTGCGTTTTTTTTCCTGTCCGGGTCTCTAGCTTGGGTTGTTGCCGCTGCACGGCATCCGACATTGTAGCTGGTAGGATAAGTTTTCCTTGTCATTTTTACCCTCGTGTCGTTTTCCCCTTTGTGTGTAGTATTTTTCACAACAAAGAAATTAAAACCCGGCGCCACTACGTAACCACTTGTTGGTTTCGCGGCGGCACCTTTTACAACTGTATTTCGTTTTTTCCCTCATGCATGTCGTCTTTTATTTACAATGTATTTAGCAATGTATAGATGTAATGACAGCCCCAGGGCTCGCTGCCATTTTTTTTTTTGGTCTCCTCGTGTTTCGAGTCGACTGTGCAGTGGTTATATTCAGAATTTACCAGCATAGAACCCGCATCCGAGATACTTTGTCGTAGCTGCGTGCGGGGTTCGGGGTTTTTGCGTGAAGGTGTGTGTTTTTCACTGGAGTTCTGAGGCCTGAGATTTTCTTTCAGAGCCACAGCGTCACAGCAAGGTCGCGCGTCCAGTAAACAAATCGGTTAAAGTGAGTTGCGTGCTTTGCATGAGTGGAAAGTCCTCACACTCGGCTACCGGTGCTTCGTGTACCGGAACATCGAGTAGGAGGCCCGATGGTGGAGGTACCGATATTTTTCTCGGTCTCCCCCCGCTGATCGGAGGGCATCCTCACAGTCTGTTTTTTCAGGCGGTGGTTTACCCGATTTTACCGGCTGCAGCGAGGCTGTGCCCCTGGAGGCTTTCCTCCTATGGGGCCCGTTGCGGGTCCCTTTGTGGACCCTTCCTCGCACGGTGCCGGGTTTGCCTCCGAGTTGAGGGCTTTGGTTGAAGGACTGTCGGGGCAATTGCGTCCCTGGCAGGCCGGGTAGATCAGACGCAGTCGGAGCGAGTTGTCTCCACTGCGGCCCCTCGGTGGGCAAGCAGGAAGAAACACGAAAGCATGTTTGCATTCAAAACACGTCTCTTCCGGGGAACCCCCGTTCCAAGCCGCGGCTCTCCCACTAATTTTGGGTGAGGCCGAGGTTCAGGCTAATTGCACCAGGCCTCCTCTGGAGCCTTGGGCACTGAATGCCAACGGGGTGCTGGCAGCCAAGCCTTGATCTCGGGGCAGGGCTTTCAGGGCAGGGCACACGTTGACCCCCCCTACTTTCAGCCAGCTAGGGTTCGTCACGCGGTAAC